ATATTCAATTTCTACCCTTCTCTACACTTGTGACCTTATTTTGTACCTAATTCGCACATATCGACTAATACACCCTAAAATCACATCGAAATCAAATAGGAACGCAATAGGGATGTATTTGACGACGTTCAAGCATTTAAGCACATGAATTGACACAAAAAAACACCTCAATATGTAGGGTAAATAGCACCATATTTAGTGTTATCAAACTACCCCACACTTAGGCGTTTGCTTGTCCCCAAGCAAACCTACTCAAACCTAATGTAATATGAATATATGATATACGAATCAATGAGGTATGCATGCTAGTTCTTCATTGCATAGATAAGAGTATACATGGATGAATGAACGCTACTACCTTCCTACTGCGCGAGCACAAACTCTCATGTGAGGACCATATCTACTACCTTAAGCCGATCATTAAAAATGTGCTCCGGGGGATTCTTAGAAAACAAACAACTACTAGAACTATTAGAGGTGCTTTCATTCTTTCTTTTGGTGTAGGAGTTGTCAATTTCTAAGTCCATCTCTTAGGACTTCTGTTACATCCCTTGGGATCTACCGCTCACCGCATGCAGGAAGATTCCATGCACATTGCACCGAACCTTTGCAAATTTTTTTCTTTGCATAATAGCATCTCTCCCTCATGACCAAGAGCGGATGAATCATAGTCTTACCTTTCAAGGTCACATGTGGAAAAATTGATGGTCAGATTCGTCTTAGCCCGAGCACCACATCCTAGTCTGCACTCCACATTGGGTTGCCACACATGTCGGGTATAAACGAGAGCTATGAGGTCTCATGAATCGCTAAAAGGTACCTTTGGTCCTTAGCATACGATTCCGTGAGGAGGAGAGGTGTTTGGGGGTGGTAAGTAGTAAGAGATGATCGGGACTCAATAAAGCTATTCGAACCCCAAACACATCCTCGAAGGGCACTCCGTGCCAAGAGATTAATCCTTTGACGGATGATCTTAATTCTTTATCCAGTTGCCACTCACGTGAGAAACTCTTTTCCTATTCTTAAGCACAAATTGTAAAATTTCCTAGTTCCCAAAAAGAAGAGAATCCCGCACACAATGCCTTCCTAAGGTAGCAAACATTATCGACTCGCAAAAGAGAAGAAAGTAGTAGAATCCCTCACGTACCGATACTCAAACCATGCAACTATCACCTAAGATCCACCACACATCAATCAATCTAATCAAGTGAAAACCCATCGAGTAGGTAGTTGCTTTGGAACCCTCAAATTTGAAAATATTTGGGTGTAACATTCAAGGTTCCAAAAACAGTGAAATTTCACCATTCATCACCATAAAATGAGAACAATTACTAGCATACACTCTCATAAGCATTTATCAACGTCTTACATTCACAAACAAGGGAGGATACTAGCAATCAACGGTTCAACCAATCATGATAAACATTCAAACAAACAAAAACATCCTCCCACACTTGAGCAACACATTGTCCTCAATGTGGGAGTATCCATAGAAAAGATTATGAATGTTACCATAGGTCGGGTTGTTGGTTGGTAAAGGTTCACAAATGTAGTCTTTGCCTTCCTGGTGGGTTTCACAACGATAAAGCGCATAAGATAGAGAGGAAGACGAATAGGAGTTATAGGTACGATATATATATGTATATATAATAAGTACTACTACTACTAGTACTAGAGTAATTAAAGTACGAAAAGTAAAAATAAAAATAAAGCGATATTAGATATTGTTTTAATTGAAATAAAGAAATGAAAAGAAAAAGAAAAGATATAACGTAGGCCTGGATGCCTAAAACTCATTCCTTCTCGGAGGGTCCTTTTTTCATCATGTAGAGGTGCTAGAGAGGTGAAGCGATTGAATATGGCCAATACATCATCGATCGGAATGTTCATCTTCTCCATGATCGCGTGGATGTACGCCATGATATGGAGTCGCGCTTCCTTCTCCCTTCATTGGTTGTAAAGGATAGTCGCTATCATCGCCTCAATCCGATAATCTCTTGCATTGAGTTCCCTTGTCATTCTAACTTCCGGAAGACGGAAAATGGTTCCCTCTATGTCCAAAGTATTGGTGGTTGGAAATGGGAATCCCCGTACCCCCCAAATGTCATCATTGCTCATGTGTATTACCTTAGACTTTGACTTTAAAACCTCGAAAGACATAGGAGTGGTCCTACTATCCATTCGGAATTGTACGGCTCCGAAGTCAACTTGAAAATATTTGGCAAGTCGGGTGACAAACACTCCTTCGTGAAGTGAGGCAAGTCGGTGATTTGTCTCGTAGCGCTTGAATATAGATAAGATAGACAAACCGAGACGAAAAGACTGTGGAACACGCATGCTATCAAACAAGGTGACATCTCGAGCAAAGTATTGGTGGTTGGAAATGGGAATCCCCATACCCCCCAAATGTCATAATTGCCAATGTGTAGCACCTTAAACTTTGACTTCAAAACCTCGAAAGACATAGGAGTGGTCCTACTATTCATTCGAAATTGTATGGCTCCGAAGTCAACTTGAAAATATTTGGCAAGTCGGGTGACAAACACTCCTTCGTGAAGTAAGGCAAGTCGGTGATCCGTCTCGTAGCGCTTGAATATAGATAAGATAGACAAACCAAGACGAAGAGACTGTGGAACACGCATGCTATCAAACAAGGTGACATCTCGAGCAGTTAGGTTGCCCTTGCTCTAGTTCTTTCCTCCCACGGATCTAGTAATCACGTGGTGTATGAGCTGCCACTCCGGCTTCACCTCACTGGCTTTTGATAACTTCGCATCCCATTGTCGACTATCGGGTTTCTTGACTTTAGTCTCATAGAATGTCTTCAAACAAGGGAATTCGGATTCCCTTGACAAGGTAGCAACATCATACTCTTCCCCGATTTGAAACTGGATGTTATCTTCAAGGTCAACGGCACCCCTCATGTCTCGAATAGTGAGAATACTGATAAACTCTAGAACAAGCACCCAATATATATTATTATGTAAATATTAATATGGATGACCACTACATTAGATGCACTATTGGTTTGGTGTTACATGTACCCACTCAACCCATTCCAATTCCACATTCATTCTCACATTCATGTATATTGATTGTATGAATGTAGAGGTTATGTGAGGAAAAAATCCAAAACTACCACTGTTTAAAAAAACTTTACAAAAATACCACCCTCACCAAATAATTTCCAAAAATACCATCGTTTATATAAAACCGCGCCTCTGATGAGCGGTTTTCAAAGAAACCGCGCCTCTAGGCTGCGTTTTCATCACAAAATGCTTCACCAAGGAGCGGTTTGACCTTGCATGGCTGTCAACCCGCGTGTCCACGTGGCGGTTCATTAAACCGCTCGATGGGAGAGCGATCTAACGGCCAAAACGTGTGCCAGCTCGTCGATCCGCGTTGCCCAAGTAAACCGCCTCCCCGAGGAGCGGTTTGACTGTTCGGGAAAAGCAAACCGCGTCCCCGAGGCGCGGTTGACTGTTTGGGAGAAGCAAACCGCGTCTCCGAGGCGCGGTTTTCGTTGGAGAAAATTGACGAAATGGCCCTCGGGGACGCGGTTTGTACCCTATATAAACCCCCTCCCCCCTTCACTTTTCTGCACACCAACCTCATTCCCCCTTCTCTCCCTCTAACTTCTCCCTATCCACTCCCCTCCCCACCCAAAAACCTTAGAAACGTTTTTTTGTTGGTTGCGGCCTAAGTCCGATCTGCCTCCAAGGAGCGGTTATATGGGAAAACGCAGCCTAGAGGCGCGGTTTCATTGAAAACCGCTCATCAGAGGCGCGGTTTTATATAAACGATGGTATTTTTGGAAATTATTTGGTGAGGGTGGTATTTTTGTAATTTTTTTTTAAACAGTGGTAGTTTTGGATTTTTTCCGTTATGTGATGTGTGCCTATAAATAGATGATCTTCTTGTATTAAGAAATACATGAATAAGAAAGCTCTATTCCCCCTCTCTTCTTGTGTCTTTACTCTTACTCTTGTGTTAGTTCCTCTTCCTTGTTATTTCATAACACGTTATCAGCACGAAGCTCTAACTTCTGCAAGAAAGATTCATTGTTTAAGGTACATCAATCTTCTCTTTTCTTTCATGGATATATGTGTATGATTATATTCTTAGCAATTTTTACATTGACATGAAGATAAATGATAGTTTCAGAATATTTTCCCCAGAATTGGAAAATCTAAGGAAAGAAGTGAAAGGAGAAACAAGAATATTGGGAATGTATGTTATCATTGTAATGGAAATTTTCATTTGTTTCATACCCATTGTACGACAAGACTTTATTAACTTTTCTTAGAATTATTGAAAGGAAAATGAAGATCTATATGTGCTCCTCCAGTAGCAATGTTATGGAGGAGATTTTAGAGATTATAAGGTAATTTCTTACTCGTTAAAGGTGAAAGCGTATTGAACCTTTGATAAGAAAATGATTTGGTTCAACGGATGCTATTTCATTCCCGGAAGAGAATGAAACAAACATTCTTAAAAGTGAATGGAATGAGACATGCCATTATGTAAATATATATTAGTGTTTGGATAACAACACTCAGCAAATGTATCTTTTCACCAGAAGTGAAAGATAAAAGGATTATATATTGTTCCTCTCGTAGGCCAAAATGTGTTATGAAACTCATGTATGTTATTATTATTATTTTATAATCAATGAATGAAATTAAATTCAATCATCTGTTACGTGATAGTAATCTTTCAAATAAAATTTTATTTAAATTTCAAAATTTGAGATTTTTTATTTCAAAATTATTTTCCATTATTTTATTATCTTTTAATATACCACGGTTTTATTTCATCTAGTTTAATCATGTCATTATTTCTTTAGAGTTATTTCTAATATTAATTAATTTTTTTATATTTTGTGAAGAATATGTCTTCTCATGCTTAGTCCCAAGATAAAGAATCATGATGTGTGTCTTATCGATAGTGCATCGACACATACAATCTTGAAGGATAAGAAATATTTTTCTTGTCTTGAAATGCGAGACGCAAATGTTAGTACGATATCGGGAAGTACTAATTTAATTAAAGGCTTCGGAAGAGCTAGTGTATTGTTACCATAAGAAACGAAATTATATATCGATGAAGCCTTATACTCTTCAAAGTCTCGGAGAAATTTGTTGAGTTACAAAGATATTCGCCGAAATGGATATCATATTGAGACAAATGAAGAAGAGAAAAAAGAGTATTATGATAACTAATATGGTCTCAGGTAAGAAATATATATTGGAGAAATTGCCAGCTATTTCTTCTGGATTGTACTACACGTTTATCAGTACAATTGAAACACATGCAGTTGTAAACCAGAAGTTTACAAATCTCGATACTTTTATAGTTTGGCATTACCGGTTAGCCATCCCATATTGATTATGATGCGAAAAATCATTGAAAATACATGTGGACATCCATTGAAAGGTCATAAAATTTATCTTTTTAAAGATGTACCATGTGCTTCATGTGTCTCGTGGCAAGTTGATTATACGACCATCACCTGTAAAAGTATGGAGGGAATCTCTTACATTTTTAGAATGTATACAAGATGATATATGCGGGTCAATTCACCCACCATGTGTACCATTTAGATATTTTATGGTTTTGGTTGATGTATCAATTAGATGGTCACATGTGTGTTTACTATCAACTCGCAACCTGGCGTTCGCTAGATTACTTGCCCAACTGATTCGTTTACGAGCACATTTTCTTGATTTTTCAATCAAGAAAATACGTCTAGATAATGCTGGTGAATTTACTTCACAAACTTTCAATGACTATAGTATCTCCATTGGGATTGATGTTGAACATCCGATAGCACATGTTCATAAACAAAATGGTCTTGCAGAATCATTCATCAAAAGTTTGCAAGTGATTGCAAGACCATTGCTTATGAAAATAATCTTGCCAATTTCTTGCTGGGGCATGCTATATTGCATGCAGCAACATTAATTCGCATCAAGCCAGCAAGTTATCATGAAATTTCCCATATGCAAATGGTTTTCGGTCAGGAACCTAATATTTCCCATCTGAAAATATTTGGGTGTGCCGTCTACATCCCTATTGCTCCACCACAACGCGTTAAGATGGGGTCCTCAAAGGAGGTTGGGAATTTATGTTGGATATGAGTCCCCGTCAATCATAAAATACTTAGAACCCTCAACGGGAGATTTATTCACTGCTCGTTTTGCTGATTGTCATTTTGACGAATCAGTTTTCCAAAATAAGGGGGTGAGAACAAACAACTGAGAAAAGATATTTGTTGGATTGAATTATCATTATCTCACTTTGATCCCCGTACTAGACAATGTGAACTGGAAGTTCAAAAGATAATTCATTTACAAGGTTTAGCAAAGCAACTGCCGGATTCTTTTACTTACCAGAAGAGAGTGACAAAGTCACACATACCAGCTATAAATGCTCTAGTGAAAGTTGATGTCCCTGTCGGACAATCTGAAATTGCAAATGAATCTAAACCACGAATGAAGCGTGGTAGACCAGTAGGTTTCAAGGATAAAAATCCTCGAAAAAGTAAAAGGAGCTATGAATCAAGATGGTCAAATCGAGGATATGAAATCTCAGGAAGAGTCTCCAAGCATAACTAAGATTGTAGTTCCCGAAGAACATCAGGTACCTTAAAGTTTTGATAATGAAGAGATCTCAATCAATTATGTCTTGGATGGAAAATGTTGGAACCAAAGTGAAGTCGTCGACAATGTTTGTGCTTATGCTACAGCGTTGATTGTGATGAATGAAAATGAGGATCATGAACCAAGATATATTGATGAATGCAAGTCAAGAGATGATTGGCCAAAGTGGTAAGAGGCCATTGAGGCGGAATTAAACTCGCTTTCAAAGTGGAAGGTTTTTGGACCGGTAGTCCTTACACCAAAAAACGTAAAGCTAGTGGGATACATATGGGGTTTTGTGCGGAAAAGTAATGAAAAGGGTGAAGTCGTGAGATATAAATCACGTCTTGTCACACAAGGGTTCTCACAGAGACCTAACATTGATTATGAGGAGACATACTTCCCTGTGGTGGATGCAACTACGTTTTGATACTTGATTAGTTTGGCAGTTCGAGAAGGACTAGATCTGCGTCTTGTATGGATCACTTGAGAATGATATATATATAGTGCCTTCTACGGTACCCCGGATGAAATCTAGAGTACCACATACTTTGATTATGAAAACGCTATCTAGACCTCGAATTAGCAGGATTTTTGGGCATGATACTATACTCTAACCCTTAATGAGTGAACCCTGGGTCCTAATTATCTAACTCATAAACTATAAACCCTAAGATGGTGCATTGATTTTTTTGCCTATATTTGGACGAATCATAACCGTCGATTATTGTTTCTAATTAAATTGATCTTGGGGTATAAGATTTAGAGAATTAATACCTAGATTTTGATCTTTAAGGGTTAGAGTATAGTATCATGTCCGAAAAATTAGTCAATTCAAGTTCTGGATAGCGTTTTCTTACTCAAGGTATGCGGTACCCTGGATTTCACCCTGGGTACCATAGAAATCCCCATATATATGAAACTTCCTGAAGGATTCACTTTGCCAGAAGCAAGCAAGACACATTCTCGAGAAATTTTTTCTATCAAATTGAACATCCTTTAGACCTCGAGAAAGTAATGAAGAACTGCTCATGCATGAAGTGTCATATCTTAGTGCGATAGGAGCATTAATGTATCTAGCAGTCACACACGACCCGATATATAATTTGCTGTGAATATATTGGCAAGATATAGCTCTTCTCCCACTAAAAGACATTGGAATGGAGTTAAACATTTACTTCGTTACCTTCGAGGAACGACGGATATTGGCTTATTCTATTCGAGTGCCTCAAAGTTGTATTTAGTGCAATATGCATATGCAAGATATCTCTTAGATCCCCACTATGGTAGATCTTATACGAGATATTTGTTCACTTGTGGTGGTACAGCCATTTCATGGCGATCCACAAAACAAACTATAACAGCCACATCATACAATCATGCGGAAATCTTAGCAATTCACGAGGCAAGTCGTGAATGTGTTTGGTTAAGATCTATAATTCAACACATGTGGCCTATCTTCAGGAAAAATAATCTTGACGATCGTGTATGAAGATAAGGCAGCATGCATTGCTCAATTAAATGAAGGATACATTAAAGGGGATAGAATAAAACATATTCCACCCAAGTTCTTTTTCACTCATGATCTTTAAAAGAGTGGTGAAATAATTGTTCAAAAAGTTCGTTCAAGTGAGAATTTAGCAGATTTATTCACTAAGTCACTCCCGACGACAATCTTTGTAAAGCTTATTAGTGAAATTGGAGTTCTACGACTCAAAGACCTGAGCTGATGTGGTCATGAGAGGGAGCATATACGCGATGCACTCTATTTGCCTTAACCATGATTTTTTCCCATTGGGTTATCCTGGTAAGGTTTTTAATAAGGCAACATGAGATAGCGTAATGCGATATAGTGGTCATCCAAGGGGGGAGTATTATGTAAATATTAATATGGATGACCACTACATTAGATGCACTATTGAGTGTTACATGTAACCACTCAACTCATTCCAATTCCACATTCATTCTCACATTCATGTATATTGATTGTAAGAATGTAGAGGTTATGTGATTTGTGCCTATAAATAAATGATCTTCTTGTACTAAGAAATACATGAATAAGAAAGCTCTATTCCCCCTATTCTTGTGTCTCTACTCTTACTCGTGTTTCTGTTCCTCTTCCTTGTTATTTCAGAACATATATGTTATTGAATAGAGAGCAACGTGAATCATTCCAGCTTCTGTACTTTAGAGCGGATTGCATCTTCAATTCCGAGTTGGGAGAAAAGGATCCAATTGAAACAAGAACTTCCGTCTAGAGGTAATCCTTGAAGCCACAGAAGGTTGCTCTTGAATTGCTCGGGCATGTGTTCCAAAAAGTAGTGAGTGATGTGCTCAATACCGCCTTTGAAACATCTCGTTCCTTTTGAAACCAAAACCATAACTCAAACCAAAAACCGGTTACTCCGGGGCAACCCAACCCACTTTTTAAAACAAACAATTTGACACAGTATAAGAATTTCAAACGAAAAGCCCCAACACTTGGGCAATCAAAATCTAAATACTTAAAACAACTTAACCCAGAATCCAGTTTATACTAATAACCATGAACAAAGTAATTAACTATTCTAACTTGACTCCTCACGAACTTCCTGATATCCCGTCAACGTTGGTACGGCTACTCGCCTCGCCTTGCCTCTTATCGAAATCCGCCTCTGCTAACCCTTCCTCGACCTGGTGAGTGAGAAGGGGTCAGTCTCGTCGTTACTTCCTAAGATCTTTTCCCTAGGCAAACTTCTACTTACACGTTATTAGAGTTCTTTCCTTCATAGCACGAAATTCGTTCTCGCTTTCATCCTTTATACTTTGTTATCAAATAGTCTATAAGAGATCTCTACTCCTATCTTATTTTTAGAATTTCCTTACTTATATTCTTAATCCATAGACACCAACATTAGGGACCACCGCGTTACGTCTCGCCGTCCGGTTGCATACCCAAACTCGGCAATGGCACTACGTTACGTCTCGCCGTCCAGTCCATGCCCGGTCAACTACTACGTTACGTCTCGCCGTCGAGTAGTGACCTCAACAAACACGATCAACTGCTGCGTTACGTCTCGCCGTCCAACAGAGATCCGACCATCTACCACGTCCAGTAGTGGCCCAACCGCCCGGGGGTTCATCTTACCAACAACCACACACATTCACATACATAGCACAACGCGTGCCTCCACCTTAAGTAGGCGGTGGGATGCCTCACACATAATCGCGCTTATTTGAAAATTACGAACATAACTTGAAATGAAAACAACATAAACTAAAAGACCTCGACGAAGATTTTACCCCCTCTACACTCACCTCGAAAAGATGACTACTCGATTCGTTTCTTGAAGAAATCCCTCCATAGTCCAATTATCTCCGGAAACCTATTAATAAGAATCCATTTTCTTAGACGATCTTTCTCAATTTAAACCCCCTTTTAAATCACTAGAACATCCTCTCCT